CTCCTCCCCCGTCCCCCACCCACCCTTCTATGCCTGCCCAGCTCGGGCACTCTCTGCTCACACCTCCTGCACACACGCCCTGGTTGTGATCCCTTTAGGGGGTCCTTGCACCCGCCTCTAGTCTTTGTCCCTGCACACCCTCCTTCCTTCCTTCCTCCTGTCGCCTCACCTGCTTCTTTCCTGGCCTCCCCACTTGCTCTCGCCTTTCTTTTCCTGGGACCTGCTGCCTGTTCCGTGGTTCTCCCTGCACTCTTTGCCATCCCCTGCTGCCTTTCTGTCTTACATCAGGAGTCTGTAGACTCTGACTGCACCCTACTGTGTGGACAGCGAGCCCCACAGGTACCTCCAAACACACAGCCCATCTCCAGCCCATCGCTCCCTGGCTTTGCTTCTCTCCCCCTCTCTCTCTCCGTTGCTTTTTCTTTTCTCTCCCCACTTGCTCTATGAGGCTACTTCAAAAGTTCATGGAAATATTCATATTATCTTTTAATTCTATGTTTCCATGAACTTTGTGAAGTGCCCTCAATTTCTCTTTCCCTCCCTTCAGCCCCCTGGGTTCATCTTGATGTCTCTTAGCCTCCGTTCCCGTCCCCGGGGCCTTTGACAATCCTGTGGGGTGGGGGCAGGAGGGCTAGGGTCCTAAGACTGGGAGGAATTGGGGGCCGCAGGCTGGGGACACACAGCTAACCAGCTCTGGGAAGAAATGCTCCTGGAATTCAAGCAGCCCTTTTGGGGCTCTCCTCACCCAGGGGCCTCCTGCAGCTCCTATGGGGTCCCTGTCCTCAAGGGATTCCCAGAGCAGTTTTCCATCCAGCACGCATGCGTGGACGCGTCCTGAGTACCAGGTTCTGGGTGGCTTTCAGGGAGTCAAGGATGAATAAGACTTAGACTTTGGTCTTGTGGCGTGCCCAGCCTGGGAGAAAGGGCCCATGCTTTGAAGTAACACCTTTGTTCATTCACCAAATATTTACTGAGCCCCTACTATGTGTGAGGCACTGTTTGCTCAGCCATTTAGCTCGGTGATCTTAGCAAGTCATTCATCTGGAGCCTGTTTCCTCATTTGTACCGTGGTCTTGCTGTATACATAAGACTACCCAGAGTGAGGCCTGCCAAGAGGGAGAGGAGATAGGAGGTGTGGTCCTCAATCCAAAGCTGGTAAGAACTAGAACCTTCCAGGGCAGGACCCTAGATCCCACTTGAGACCCAGAGCCAGGCCCCACTAGTCGCTAGGCAACACTGGTGGTGAGTGACGTGTGTCAGCTGTCACCATGGGGGATTGTTTGTTCCGGGGGGCTGAGTCAGCGCCAGGCAGCCTAGGGGGTGGGAGGCGAGACACCCGCCACCTGCTGATGGTGCCAGCTCTGGGGCAGACAGACGGCACCCTTCCGCTCCCTGCTGGACCCTGTTGCTGCGCCTGTCAGGCAGGTGGCTGCCCAGAGTCAATGGGGAGTTGGGGGTGGGCTCCAGATGGCCCCAGCTCCCTCCGAGAAGCCCATGTTCTTTCCCTTTAAGCCGTCTGGGGTCCGGGATGCTTGGGAGTGGTGGGCCTGCTGCCTAATCCTAGGACTGGAGCTGAGAGGAGGGGACCCCAGCAGGCTCCTCTGCCAGCCCACCTCCCCTAAGTCACCTGCCCCCTCCCAAGCCCATCCCATCATCTCCTCAAATACCCACTCCCCTCAAGAGTTCCCGACCTGTAAGGACACTGCCAACCCCCAGACACCCCAACACAAGAAAGCACCTTGGGTGCCTCAGACTTCTCTGCCATTCGAGCCCTCCGGAGTCTGGCTCCTAAAGAGCTCTGGACTCCATCCACACCTCTCCATCTCCACTGCCACCCTCACTACTCAGATGAATTTTAATTCTGGAGTCAGACTTGGTTAGAATCCTGGCTTACTACTAACTAGCTGTCTGGCCTTGGGCAAGTCAATCTGTCTCAGCTTCCTCATCTGCAAAACAGAAGTGAAAATAATACTAGTGTCTATGTCAGGTTGTTGCAAGCACTGAATGTGTTAATAAACATAACACCTGCTGGCAAAGAGTAGGCACCATGTATGTTGGCCAGCTTGTATTTCCTGCCCCACCGATCCTACATCACCTGCCCACCCCACTTTGCTGCTCTGTACCCCTCCCTGTACCCCTCAGTGGCTCCCAGTTACCTTTGTGTTAAAGGCCAGACTCCTGGTCTAGCCTCACAGCGCACTCGTGCCTGGCTCTGCCGACGTCTCCAGCCCCATCTTTCAGCACTCCCGCCCCATGAAACCTGCAGCTTCCCGAATGTTCCTTGTTCTTTCAACCCTCTGTGCCTCTGTACCTGCTATTCCTGCTGTGTGGACTGCTCTTTCCCCATTTGTTCACCAGACACACACCTACTTGAGTCAAGCCTGAACTTCCACCACCCTGCACACAGGGTTGGGCACCCGCCTCAGGTCCTCCCTGTACCCCACAGCCCTGACACCTAGAATATAGTTCCAAGTTCTCCTCCCCGAAAGCCTGGGGTTCCTCCCAGGCAGGGGCTGTGAAACAGGCCTTTGGGGCCCATGCTCAGCACAGGGCTGAGAAGAGGCCATGTCCTGGGATGTTTTTGAAGGAGGTATAGTGGACACGGGCCTGAATTGGGCATCAAGACTCTAGGGTTCCGTTCGAAACTGTCGTGTGACCTTGGACCAGGCCCTGCCCCTCTCTTGGCCTCGGTTTCTCCGCCTTTGCAACAAGCTCCATCTGGCCCCGTCCTCACGTGTAGATTCCTACCCCATTAAGGATGGGTGGTGGGAGGCCATAAGTTGCTGCCCCAACCCTGACGAGCACACGCCCCTCCCCCAGATCATAGCCTTTGACGAGCTGCGGACAGACTTCAAGAACCCCATCGACCAGGGGAACCCAGCGCGGGCAGTAAGTGATACATGTGCTGTGCCGAGGTGTGTCCGTCCGTCGTCTTTCCATCTGTCGTGGGTGGAGGCTGGGGGTGGAGGCTGGGCAGACGGGGTTGTGAGGTGGGGGGTTGGAGGCCATGCCTCTTACTCTGTCCCCGCCCCCAGCAAACACCTGGCGCGGGCTCAGGGCCAGAGTTCCTCCTGGCGGGGCTGCCGTTGCCAGGCTCTGGGCCGTTGCCGTGGAGACGCGGGTGAAGGCCCCTCCATGGTGACGGTCGCCATGGGGACCGCGCGGCTGCTTCCTTGCCGCTCCAACAACGTCGCAGAGACTGCTCTGGCGCCCTCTGGCGGCCACTTGCAGCGCGGCGGGGGGCTCCCAGTGCCCGCTCCTCCGCCTCCCCCATCGCACTCTTTTCCTTCCTCCTACAGCGCGAGCGTTTAAAAAACATCGAACGCATCTGCTGCCTCCTGAGGAAGGTCAGTGTTAGGGCTGGGGGCTGGGGGCAGGAGGCTCCCGGCCTAGCGCTGCCCCCGTCTGTGGCCCAGCTAGGCCTTCCTCCTCTTCGGGCCTATCTCACCTGCTCTGCCACCTGGGAGAGGGTGGGAGGCCAGAGGCCTGTTAGTCCCCAGAGGTCATGGTGGGTGGGCACCTCTTCAAACCCCAGCTCCCTTCTGTGCCCTTGAAGCTTGGGTCTGTCCTAGCACCAGGCCGCTGACCTCTCACCCTCGCTCCCCCAGCTGGTGGTCCCCGAATATTCCATCCACGGCCTCTTCTGTCTGATGTTTCTGTGTGCAGCAGAGTGGGTGACCCTGGGCCTCAACATCCCCCTCCTCTTCTACCACCTCTGGAGGTAGAGTAGCAGCTGCCTGTGGGAGGCCGAGATGGGGTGCGGGGGCAGGACGGGTGGAGCCTTGGCAGCGGGCACTCAGGCCCCTCCCCACCCCAGGTACTTCCACCGCCCTGCGGATGGCTCTGAGGTCATGTATGACGCGGTCTCCATCATGAATGCTGACATCCTCAACTACTGCCAGAAGGAGTCCTGGTGCAAACTCGCCTTCTACCTGCTCTCCTTCTTCTATTACTTGTACAGGTGAGGCCCTGTCCATGGCAGTGGGAACTCAGGGAAGGGATGTTCAGGCATTGTGCTTCCATCCCAACTTTCTGCCCTTTGCCCTTAAGGACTGAGGGAGACTCAAGGTGTGGCTGGGTGGGCTGCCAGGCAGCTGGGCCTGCTCAGGACTCGGCTCACTGCCTCATCTTCCCACAGTATGGTTTATACGTTGGTGAGTTTCTAAGGGGGAAGCCGGCCAGGGAGCGAGCCCAGAACGGACCGGACGCCTGTGCACCCCCAGCCCTGCCCCTCGGCCGCAGAGGCCTCAGTCCTGGGGAGGGAGGGGGCACTGGTGCCTCCAGCCTCTCCACCCCCCAAACTGCTGCTGCGGGGACACCCCCGCCTTCAGAGTCCTCTCTCTTGGACTAGGGCTGGGCAGAGCTCTAAATAGGGTCAGGGGCTCCTCTGCCAGCCTGTGGACATGGCAGTCAGTCCTGGAAGGGGCGGGACCTCCGGCCTTGTCCATTTCAGGGGAAACTTGGGCCCTGCCATGGGGCAGAGCTTGACCCTGGAAATTCTGGGCCGCCCCCCCCTCCACCCCCACTCTGAGGCTCCCCCTGCAGGTGGGGGGGTTCCCACACCCAGAATGAGCAGGCTCAGCAGGGGGGCATCCCCACCCCTAGTCTGTCCTCCCCCTCCCCCAGGCTCTCTCTCCAGCCCTCTGTCTCCACTTACCCAACCCCAGCCCACCCTGTCTCTTGGACCCATTTTCTATGTTGCCTGGAGGAGTCCGGCACCCCCTCCCCAGCCATTTGTGACAAAATATGAATAAACTATTGCAAACACATGGGCCCCCATTCTGCTCCTGAAAAGCTTGAAGAGGAGATGGGGTAAGGGACTGTACAGGCGGCAGCCCTGAGCTAATTCCCCAGCACAGCTAGTCTTGGCACACTAGCCCACAGACCCCCTCAGCCCACCCTCCCCAGATGGATCTGAGGCCTTCAAGGTCTCCTTGGCAGCTGTCCCCTTCCATCCTCACTTCCCTGGCTGTGCCTACTAAAACCCTTCCATCTCCCTTTGAAGGCAGTATCAAGGTCACCAACTCCAGGAAGCCTTCCCTGGGTCCACCCTCCTCCTAGACAGTCCCAAGCCTGGTCTCCTATGCAATGAGGTATCTGCAACTCTCCTCCAGGCCCCAGGAATGAGAGTCAAACAAAGTCAAGGAAATCAAATCTTCAATGTATGGAAAAATCAGTGGGCCAGGGGTCACCGGACCAGGTGGAAGGTCAGCCAGTATATGATGAGGGGCTGGAATGCTGCAGCTCCCAGAGTCAGGTAGAGCTGGAGACGCTGTCGGGGGACTGGGCCCCCCATGCTATCGGGGCCCAGGGCTGCTGTCCGCAAAGATCGCACCTGTTAGAAAGGAGAGCTGAAGCTGGGCCAAGAGGGGTAGGTTTGTCCCCAGCTCTGACCCTAGGTAAAGAGAGGGAGGCAGCAGCCCCAGACTCACAATGAAGTACATGAGAGCAGATGAGGTCCAGGCCAGTGCCACGTAGTAGCCATCGCTGCCGAACAGCAGCCCTGTGAGCACACTCAGGATCATTCTGTGGAGGCCGTGGGTAGGGTAAGGCTGGTGACCCCCAGGGGTCCAGGCCTGAGATTGGCCCTGCCCATCGGGCCTAGAGCCCCACCTAGACCCCACCCACCACTGGTGCCCTTTACTCTCAATCTGTGCCAATAGGGACCCAGACCCAAAATGGATCTGGAAGGCCCAGGACTCAGCCACAGGATCTGGATCTGAGACCTCCTTCTCTCCCCTGTGCTCCCAGGGTGTCTCAACACATCTCCAACCTCCTTAACTTCACTCAGCCCGAGGAGACTGCTGGGAACAGCTGGTCCCTCTAACAGAGTACCAGGACTCAGCCACAGGATCTGGATCTGAGACCTCCTTCTCTCCCCTGTGCTCCCAGGGTGACTCAACACATCTCCAACCTCCTTAACTTCACTCAGCCCGAGGAGACTGCTGGGAACAGCTGGTCCCTCTAACAGAGTAGAGCTAGAGGTTGAGGAGTGGGGCAGAAAGAGACATGTCCGGGGTCACAATTTGAGGCTGCAGCTATGCAGGCCCAGAACCCAAGGCCTCAGGCCCCTCCCCCAGGCCACCTCCCCCCCAGCCCACGATGCTCACCCCACGTATTTGTAGCCACTGTAGGCCAGCAGGTGGAAAGTGCTCAGGTCACTGCGCACGGTGGCCAGGTAGAGGCCCAGGAGCAGGGCCAGCACCTCCATCACCACCCACACCAGCGCCGTGCTTGCACACAGGCCCAGCACCTCTGGGGAGAACCTGTGCCGCGGAAGCAGGGGGGGGCAGTTCAGAACCAGCCATCATATAGCAGGGGTGTGAGGGTGAGAGACTAGAGGCAGCAGGGGGTGGGCTGGGGACCTGGCATAGATCCCCTAGGGAGGTGGGAAGAAGAGCCAGGAGGGAGCAGAGATGGGGGGTTGGGGCAGGGAGGGAGTTGACACCGACCTTTTCTGAATGCCCAGTGCCATCCCAGCCAGCAGCACATAGGTGATGAAGGCCATCGCTGCCAAGAGCCAGAGAGATGTCGTCAGCCTGGCTTTCTCAACCAGAGCCCTCCACTAGGCATTCAAGGCCATGGACACCCTAACTTCCCCTATACTTCCTTCCCCGCATATCCCAAGATGGCCTGACCTCCACACTCAGTTCGCAATGCCCTGCCTGGGATGCCTTTCCCTGATCAGCCCTTCCCGTTTTATAAATGCCACCTGACCCTTCTCCCAAGACCACAGCCACCTTCCCTGCCCCTGTGCTAGGAAGCGCATCAGTTTCCTGCTGTGTCAGAAACTGCATCATGGGCAAAGGCCATTGCTCATCCTAGACAGGGACCAAAACGCAGGTTTGGTGGACAACCCAGGCTGTTCCTAGAGTCCAGGGCCATGGGGATGACCTCACCTGAGCCAGCAATTCTAAGTCTGGCCATTGGCACTGACTATGACTCTGGCCACCCTGACAATACAGAGAACTCGAAATTTAACTCTGAGCTGTTTGCACAGAAGCTCAGAGCCAGTGAGAACCGGGCTTTTGCAACATTGTTAACTCACCAGCCCTGTCCTCTGCCCCCCTTGAAGCACTAGAACTGATGCGACCACCAGAGGGCACAGTGTCTGGAGTCAGGAAACCAGCTCTACCACTTATAAGCTGCGTGGCCTCAAAGATACTCAAGTCCCTCTGAGCCTTGGCTTCAACACGTAAGACAGAGATGCCTAAGTTCCAGTCTTAGACAGTGGCTGCAAGACACACACAGAAAGAAGGATAGAAGAACTTGGGCTCGCTGCCCTCTCTGGAAGCTCCTGAGGGTCGAGCTCTGGCACACTCACTCCTCCTTCAGAGTGTCCACTATGGGCCTAGCCCTGTGCAGCCAACAGGACAGACAAGTCAGCTGCAGAGTTGGCCAGCCACAGCAGTGTGGGTGACCTGACAAATGCCATACGGACAGGCAGTTGTGGGAACCCAGAAGGGAGTGATCACTTGCTCTGGTAATCAGGGAAGGCTCCCTGGAGGAGGGGACGGTGGAACGGCCTTAGAGGTCAAGTAACGTCGCTAATAATAGCCAATATTTACTGCAAGCTTCCTGTGTGCCAGCTGCTACGCTGAGCTGAGTGTATAGCATCTCACGGAATCTCTATAACAATCCTTTTAGGTAGGGACTTACTATTCCCGTTTTACTGAAGAGTACGAGTAACCATCCTAAAGTCCCACAGCTGGAAGTTGCAGGGCCAGATCTAAACCCGGGACTCCAGGCTGCAGAGGGACATGGTCCAAGTCGAGAAGCAGGAAGGTCTCAAAAGGATGTCCTGGGGACAGTGAGGCACACTGGGGAAGCTCCCTACTGTTTACCCTGCCCTGTCTACCTGGCGTCTAGCAACTGCCACATGTATAAAGCACCAAGAGGAGATGCTAAGTGCTCTCTCTTCCCGTTCATGACTCCAGGCACAGTTCCCCTCAGGACCCCCAGCCCAGGTCAGAAACTCACTGGGAATATAGAGGTCAGGGGCGTTGAGGTCTTGTCGTGGGGGCAGAGGCACATCACGACTGTACTGCACTTCCCAGTTCTGGCAGTGGCAGCAGCGGCCAGGTCAGGAGGAAATAAGAAAAGGAGAGAAGGGGGTTGAGGTCTGGGGGCCAGACTTTGGGGTGGGATGAGGGAGTCCCGCCAGCTCACCAGGTAGCAAGCTCACCTGGTGCGTATAGGGGAAGACCAGCAGCCCTAGCTTCTTGGCCACATAGGCTGTGTCCACAGCGAAAAAATACTTGAGTTTGTTCACAGACACAAAACGGTGCAGCTGGGAGGGGAGAGAGGAGGCTGTGGGCAAGCTGCACTCTGAGCCTCAGGGTGCTCCTGTGTGTGCTTCTTCCCTGAGGTCGTTGTGAACGTCAGGTGGGATCCAGTGATGCCCCAGCCCTAGCCACCCTAGCCCCGGGGGCAGGCCACACCTCCTTGTGCACCATGTCCTTCCCATGGGATGCGATGGAGCTGCCATAGGCCATTGCCACGTTGGCCATTGGGTCCCCAAGCAAGTGGTTGACATTGAAGGCCACATCGGCTCCTGGGGCTGGGTATCCCCCGGGCTGGCTGGAATAACCACCGCTTGTGTCATCGAAGAGGGGAGGAGGATCCGGAGCTGCCCGGGCCCTGTGCTTGGAGCCTGCGGGTTTGGAGGTACCAGAGTAGGTGACAGGAATACCAAGCATGAGCCCAAACCACAGCCCCTTCCCCTGGTTAGGCAGTCCTGTACGGGTCCTGGGGCCACCGAGCAATCAGTGAGGGAAACCCAGGCTGGGTGAGGGGTAGCTAAGGGGAAGTGATCTCTGAACTAAGCTGTAGAGGGTGAGTGGAAGTCTGCTAGGTGGAGAAGATAATCGGGAGGGCATCCCTGCATGAACGAGGGTGGGAAAGGCGACAGCTGGCTACTCGGAGGCCCTAGGCAGTGGTCAGGACAGGGAAGGGAAGTTCTGGAGGAGGATCCTGTTCGAGCCCACGTCGGGCATGGGGATCCGAGATGTGCTATCACCGCTCCATGTCAGGATGGGCCAGAGAAGGCCAAGTCCGGGACGCGTTGCAGAGATTCGCGGGGCAGGAACCCGAGTGACCCCCCCGACCCCCGGCCCTGGCCAGCGGTCACAGCCGCCCCTCTTCCTCAGGGTGAGCGGGCTGCGCCGTCGACTCTGCTCCCGCCGGGCCGCGCCCCGCCCGCCCCGCACCCCACGCACCGTGGGCTCCGTAGCCCGAGTGATAAGCCATGGCCTCGACGCTCGTTCTCCCCGAGGGCCCGCTGCGCCGCCTCGTGGGTACGAATACTAATAAAGCAGCTGCCCGGCTCCCTGGGCGCAGGCCGAGGTTACCCGGCAGCCAGACACGTCCTCCCGCGGCCCGACTGCGGCCGCCATGTCCACAGCGTCATCCTCCGCCGCCTGCCATTGGCTCTCTGGCGGCGCCGGCTCGCCCCTCCCCTCTCCCAATTGGCTACTGGCGCGGCTTAGCCAAAGCGGATTCGGCGGTAGCCAACTTCCGGGCGCTGGATAGGCGGAGCGATTGGAGGCGCGCTCGGATTGGACGGCGGCCTCAGTAGTTCGTGGCAGGAGCAGCGATAGACAGTTAAGGTGGGCGGGTGTTGAGAATTACTCTGCGCCTGCGCGGTGGGGCCCTTGACGCTCACCCTGCCACGACTACACCAGGAGGCCAGCGGCTGGAGCCCGGGAACCGAGCTACGCTAGTGGGGCCTGTTCCAGGAGGGAATGGGGCCCCCCACCCCTCCCTCTCCATGTTCGCTTTCCCTGCTCGTCCCCCACATTTCGCCCGGTCCTGGAGCGGAGCCCTGGCAGCCCAGGGGGCGTTGGTAGGAGGCTGGGCCGGCAGTGACAGCGCAGCCAAGCTAGCCCCAGGATGCTGCCGACTCCTCCCGCCTCCCACTCCTTTGCACGCGGGTGCTGTCCGTCGTCCGGTGCTGAAAATACCCTCCCGCCTCCGCCTCCATCCTGCAGACCCCTGGGGACCGGCTGCTGGCAGGGCCTGCAGTCTCGAGCCACACGTTCCTACACACACACACACACATTGAAAAACTGAGACCCTGCAGTCTCGAGCCACACGCTCCTACACACACACACACACATTGAAAAACTGAGACCCTGCAGTCTCGAGCCACACGCTCCTACACACACACACACACACACACACACACACATTGAAAAACTGAGACCCAGAAGACCTGAAGTCCCAGAGACTGAGTGGTATAGGTGGGACAGGATCCTGCACCAAGCCTGTCCCATCGGCTCTTCCGTGGTCCAGCCGATTTGGGGACGGAGGGGTGCTGATCCGTTTCCTGAAGCTGCGGCCGAAACTCCTGAGTCATCGCTGGTCCCGTGGTCTTGTTGAAGTAGGGCCCCCAAGCCTCACTCTCGGGGGCGCCTTTATCTCCACCGAGCTTCCGACCACTCCCACCCTCCCTGGAGACAGTCTTCAGGGGCTTCGCTCTCACAGACCTTCACCCACTGCTTTCTAGAGAGCACCATCAGGTCTTCGATCTGCCTCTAATCTGCTACCTAGTGTCCAGTTACACCAGGTGACCTTCCTGCTCCCCAAACTCTGCCCACGAGATCCAATAGCAGTGCCTTTGCCCAGAGGTCCCCTCCACCTGGGATGCCCGTCCCCTTCATATCCACTTGTCCAAAGCCTCGTTATCCTTTAAGAGTCAGTTCAGCTCCTGCCCCTCAGAGGGACAAAAGGAACAGAGGACTGACCTGGCCTAGGGTGGAGGCCAGAGGCTGGGTCTTAGGCCGCCTCTGGGTGCACCCAGTTTCCCCTGGATGTAAGTTCCATGAGGACACAGTCTGTGTCATTCTATACTCTTACTCTTTTCTTCCCAGTGCCAAGCACAGTACTTGCATATAGAAGACACCCAATAAACATCTGTGTCCAATAAACAAATAATAAATAAATGGATGAAACCCTCTACCAGTCCTTTCCTCTCTCTACATCTCAGTTGCCTCATCTTTAAATGAGTGGGGTATTTAACCGAGTGGTTTTTGAGTTGCTCTTTGCCCAAACACACACACGCACGCACACACACACACACTCCCTAAAATAACCCACCCAGCATTGCAGCTCCCCATGTTCCATTCACTGATCGTCTAGATTGGGGGAAAAGCCCAGACTCAGGCACAGGCATGAAGATCTGAGGCCCCTGAGGCCAGGGAGCAGCACCGGGGCCAAGTGTACCTGGGAGGGGATCGTCCCTTGCAGGACAGATCTCACTCCCCTGTACAACGTGGTGGATGCTCGTGA